TAGCATAGATATTTTAGAAATTCATAGACATAAAGGACCGATATTTATCATATTTAGAGACATATAAAACCAATATTTTAGATCTTTACATTGTGTAAAGAAACGATTCTTTGGATTTTTATAGAAATATATAGTATAGATGTTTTAGAAATTTATAGACCTAAAGGACCGGTATTTATTATATTTAGAGACATACAGAACCGATATTTTAATTTTTATGTTTACATTGTATATAGAACAGACATCTTAGATTCTTATAGACGTATATAGAAACAGTATTTTAGATTTTTGAAAATTAGTCACGACACGCATGCTAATTAGTAAGAAGTACTCTATTTTTTACCGTTTATTTCTTATATTATTTGAGAGATAGATGATGAATGACTTGATAATGAACCAAAAATCAAATGAGACAGTTTTTAAATTTTTTTACACAGCTTTATTTTCTGTTTTGTGTAGATATTTTTTAATACTTTGCAAAAAGGAGATGATAGAATATATTTTTATAATATTATATTTATATATATATGTGTGTATGTATAAATATATATTGTCAGATATACATCAAACTAATATTGTATTTTTCTTTTTCTCTTTCTCGGAATTCCTTAAAAAAAAAATAAAAAAAAAATCCTGGATTCTCTTATCCCTCCCTTTCCTCTCCCTTTCCCTCTTCTTCCTCTCCCTCTCTGTCTCCTTCCTCTTATTTCTCTCCCTCCCTCTTCCTCTCCCTCTCCCTCCCTCTTTCTTTCCTCTTCTCTCTCCTTCCTCTTTTCTCTCTCCCTCTCTCTTCCTTTCTTTCCCTCTCTCCTCTCTCCCTCTCCTTCCTCTTCTCTCCCCTCCCTCTCCTCTCCCTCTCCTTCTCCTTCCTCTTATTTCTCTTCCTCATTCTTCCTCTCCCTCTCCTTCTCATTCTTCCTCTTATTTTCTCTCTCCTCATTCTTCTCTTTTTCTCCTCTCCCCATAACCTCCCCTTTGTCTCTCCTCTCCTCTCAACACCCTCCTCCCCCTCTTTCCTCCTCTTCTTCCTCTTTCTCCTTCTCTTCCCACTTACCCTTCCGACTGCCCTCCCTTAAATCCCCCCCCCCCTGAATACCCCCCTCCCTTAATACCCTACCCCTCCTCCCCTCCCACCCTGCTGAATACCCCCCTCCCCCCCCCACAGAATTCAACTTCGACGGCTTCTCCAAGGACGTGTGCCGCGCCATGATCGCCATGATGGACGTCGACAGGTCCGGAAAGCTCGGTCTGCATGAGTTCCTTCAGCTGTGGACAGATATTCGTGTCTGGAAGGTGAGATAGGAGTTGATTTTTCCGAGTTTATTTGTGTATTTATTTATCTGTTTTTTTTATCTTCTACCTCTTTGTGTTAAATTCTTAGTTTTTTTTTTTTTTTTTTTTTTTAATTCTCCGTGTTTATTTGTATATTTATTTATCTATTTTTTTTATTTTCTCCCTCTTTGTGTCATCTTCATCTTCTTAGTCTTCGTTTTCTTATCCTCATCCTCTTCATTGCCTTTTCTCTCTGATAGCCACGTCTAGAAGGCGAGAAAGCAGCCAATTCTCTCAGTTTTTGCATTTCTTTCGTTCTTTCTTTCTCTTTCTCTTTGTCCTTATCTTCTTCATCTTCTTAGTCTTCTTATCCTCCTCCTTTTCATGACTTGTCTTCAATATCATTACCACTCTCATTATCTTAATTATCATCCGTACTGCCATCATTGCTATTATTATTTTCATTGTTATTATCATAACTATCATTATCATTGCCATTATTATCATTATCATTATTATTATTATCATTATTATTATCATTATTATTATTTTTATCATTATTATTATTATCATTATTATTATTATTATTATTATTATTATTATTATTATTATTATCATAGCCATTATCATTATTATTATAACCATCATCATCATCATCATTATCATCATTATTCATTATTATGATTATCATCATATCATAACTATCATTATTATTATCATCATCATTTCATAACTATCATTATTATTATTATCATTATCATCATTATTATTATCATTTTCATTATATCCATCATTTTGAAACTAACTTCTCTCCGCTCAACAGAACGTCTTCCGCCTGTACGACAAGGACTCGTCCGGCCACCTCTGTTCCTTCGAGCTGCGTCAGGCTCTTAACTCTGCAGGGTACAGGTTGAACAACCACGTATGCAACGCCCTCATGCTACGCTACGGGGATGACCAAGGGCAGATCTCCTTCGACGACTTCATCATGTGTCATGTGTCAAGTGCGATGATGGGTACGTTGTGTGTTTTTTTTTTTTTTTTTTTTTTCCTTTTTTTTTTTTTTCCTTATTTAATACGTTTTTTTGCATTTTGCGTTTTTTTTGTTTTGTCTTTGCGGAGTAGGTTTTGTAGTTCGTTGCGTATTCTCACTGTTGTTAATTTTTCTTTTAAAATTTTTTTGTTTGGTTTACGATTTGTGATTTGATGCGTTTTTGCAAGTGATTTATGACGTGGCTTTTGTCAATTTAACATTTCTTAAACAAAACTTCTGGTTGTTTGATGTTATTGCAGATGATTGCCTATTATGATTCAATATTTATTAAAAAAGATATTAGTGATTTTTTAATTGTTGATTTATTTCTTTAAAAAATTAGTATACCGGTAATTTTTCGGTCATTTGATATAATTGCTAATTTCGAATATGTTGAATTATTTCTTTACAAAATCTGTTGGTGATTTAGAATTATAAGCTGTTATTGCAGTTACTGAAAGGTCTTTTGTGATTTTATTTCCATTCCTCGGATTAGGTTTTAATTATTTATATATATTGTATTTGTTACTTTGCTCCACAAATGGTAATTTTGTTGTTGATACAAGTTATTGAATAGATAATTTCCTGGGTTATTGCAGGTGATTTTTCGTATTATTGCACAAGGGGAGATATTTTAGGTTATTGCAGGTTGTTTGTCATGTTATTGCACAATTTTTTTTAGGTTATTGCAGGTTGTTTGTCACGTTATTGCACAAATAAGTAATGCCTGTGGGAAGTTTAGTCCTGCAATGTGGTTAATATTTTTATGTGGTTATTGCAGTGTAGTTTCTGTATGTGATTCTTTGATTGCATGGTTGGTGATTGCATGAATGGGTTCCATTTTTCGTGTGGTTCTTGCATTGTGTGATTGGGATGTTATTGATCGATTTTCAGAAGTATTTCACAAGGTGATTCCGAGAGACTAGCTCATATATATGGTATTTATTATGAGGTCATTATTATTTATGGGGTCATTAACGACGGTGATTGACGCATTTCAAGGTTTATTCAGGTGTGACTTAAAAAATGATTTATGATGGATTTCCATGGTTTATAATGTGGTTTTAAGGAATGACATATTGGTCATACTTAGCGGTTATTTATGCATCATAAAATCATCCCGGTCCCTCGAAGATTCAGTAAATATGGTCGTTTAGGTCAATAACATTCGCATTTCCCAAATCTCCATATTTGGCTGATTTGTCAAAATTGCGTGAGACCCGACCCAATAAATATGCATATATACGGACATGGATCTGTACAGAAAGAAACGCATATCTATCTATATTTGTCAGATACATTTATCTATCTATCTATCTGAGAGATGCATTTATCTATGTATCTCACCGATATACATATATCTATCTGTATATTATATATATGAATATCTGATAGATAAATGTATATCTATCATAAATTTTATATCATATATGTATATCATATATACATACCTATATATCATATATCATATATGTATATCTATTTAGATATATAGGTATATCTATAGATATATCTATAGGTATAGATATAAATTTATCTATATATACATTTATCTATCTGTGTATATATATATATATATATATATATATATATATATATATATATATATATATATATATATATACATATCTCATAGGCATGGTTAGACTGATAGATATGCATATATTCCTGGGTATATGCAGGTCCGCATTGTGAATATTTATTGGGTCGATCCTCGCGTAATTTTAACGAACCGACTGATTATCTACTAAAAGGGGAGGATGAGAAGGGAAATATGAATATAAAGATAAAAAATTATATCCTAAAAAAGGTATATGTGGTGCCGTCAGGATCCTTGTTGCCGAGGATAGAAATGAAAATATGAATATAAGAATAAAAAAGTATAAAAATGTTGAAAGTCACCTGGCTGGTAGCCCGAAGTAGCAGGTGTTTCCTTGGCCTTTTCCATTTCTCTGGAGACGACGTTTCGCTTTTATTGATTTCGTCAAATATAATTCCTTTCATGTAATTTTCAGATTAATTTCACTAAATAGTTTATTTATTTGCCTTTTTTGTTTTTGTTTGTGTTCAGGTTTAATTTGATTTGTTACTATTAAATTTAATATCTTGTTAAATTTCACTAAAATTCCTTTCATTTAATTTTTTTTTGGTTAATTTTACTAAGTGCAATTATGTTTAATTTCTCTATTAATTCCCTAATCATAATTCACGCTTTCCTTAATTTCACGGTTTATTTCACCAGATAGAATTTTCTTTATTTAATTCCATGGTTTTATAATTCATCATTCATTCTCATTTGTTTGTGTATTTCACCAATTATAATTTCCTTTATTTAATTTCTTTATGAATTTGTATTTTCAATTCTTCATCCTTTGTTTAATTTCTTTATTAGTTTGTTTTTTTCTGTTCGTACTTCATTCTTTAATTTATTGGTTATTTTCAGTTATTCCTTATTTACGATGATTATTTGCGTTGCTTAATATCCCATTCTTTATCGAGTTATTGCATTCATTGTTTGTATATTCAATGGCAATCACTGTAATCTGTTATTGATGACGTATGTGATTTGGCATCAAATATATGTATTATTGGATGGGTTGCTGCGCCATTGTTCAGTTTATAAATCGTGTTCACATACTATTTTTTGTTCATAAATCACGATTTCTTGCCATTTTCTGTTCATAATTCACATTTAGTCGCCATTATTATGTTCACAAATCACGATCAGTCGCCATTATTCTGTTCACAAGTTATGTTCAATTGCTAATTTTTGTTCACAAATAATGATCAGTTGCCATTATTCTGTTCAAAAGTTATATTCAATTGCCAATTTTTGTTCATAAATAACGATCAGTTGCCATTATTCTGTTCATCACAAGTTATGTTCAATTGCCAATTTTTGTTCACAAATCACAATCAGTTGCCATTAATCTGTTCACAAATCACGTTCACTCCATTCTGTTCACAAATTATATTCAGTCGCCATTATTCTGATCAGAAGTTATGTTCAGTTGCCAATTTTTGTTCATAAATCATGTTCTGTCGCAATTATTCTGTTCACAAATCACGTTCACTCCATTATTCGGTGCACAAATTATATTTAGTTGCCATTATTCTGTTCACAAGTTACGTTCATTTGCCATTTTTTGTTCATAAATGACATTTATACACCATTATGCCGCTTACAAACCACGATTAACACGTCGACCACCCATTTTCTGGTCATAAATCATGTTCAACCGCCTTTTTGTTCATAAATCACATTTATACACCGTCATTCCGCTTACAATCCACCAATCGGCCCCCAATCAACCCGTCGACCACCCCACAGGCCCGCTTACAAATTTTGTTTATAAATCACATTTATCCGCTTACAAATCACAATCAATCCACCAATCGGCCCCCAATCAACCCGTCGACCACCCCACAGGCATAGGGGATGATCCCGACAGACTGCAAGAATTTTACGACGAGTTGATGAGCGAAGAAGGGACGAAGCAGCAACAGGAGGAGGAGGAGGAGGAGGAGGAGGAGTAGAGAGAAACATCGATGTGGATCTGATATCATTTGATTTGATGTGATTGACGGTGATTTATTTCTCGTGCATGTGATTGCCGTGGCAGGGTGTTTTTTTGTCTGTCAAAGGAATTTTTTAATTGCCGTTTTGCAGTAGTATGATGCTGTATTTTTACGTCAGAGGATTCCTATCGTATTTTCACAACAAAGCATTTTTATTATGTTATTGGTGATTCAGTATATTGATATATAATTTTTTTTTTTTTTTTTTTTGGAAATTCGATATAATTTTTTTGTTTAAATTCCATAAAATTCTTTTTGTAAATAATGTTACCTAATTTTGTAATCCATCGTAATTGATGGTTTTGCAATTCTGTAAAACTGGTGAATTCTTATATATCAATAAAGAAAAAAATTAATCATTTTGAATTACACACTGAAAAGAAAAAAATAAATTCCTTTGACGGCAACCTGTCGCGGAACAAAGAAATGAGAATTCATTTTTTTGGTCTGGTTTCTGGTGGAGGGAGACGGCTTCTTAATGCATATTCACAACAGAGAAAATATATATGTATGGGCATATATATTAACGACAAATCACGCAAAAATATTACTAATATATGTATATATTTTCTTATCGCTTTCTTGCAGGTGAAGTGGCTTTTATATATACAGTTACATGTATATGTTTTTTATATAATTGTAATGGCTGTTTCATTACTACGCTTTTAGAAATCACAAAAGGATTGAATATTGGTGACGGTCTATCAATCTCTTTCTCTCTTCCTTTCTTCCTTTTTTTCAATGTCTATGTCTTTCTCTCACTCTCTCTCCCTGCCCCTGCCTCCCTCCGTCCCTTTCTCAGTCTCCCTCCCTCTCAATCTCTCTCTCTCCCTCCCTCTCCTCTCTCCCTCACCCCTCCCTCCTCCTCCCTCCTCCCTCTTTCCTCCTCCTCTCTCTCCTCCTCCTCTCTCTCCTCCCTCCTCTCTCTCCTCCCCGTCTCTCTCTCTCTCTCTCTCGATCGTGTCCTCCTCATCTCTCATCTCTCTCTCTTCATCCGTCTCTCTTCTTCTCCTCCTCTCTCTCTCTCGTAATTCATTCTCATCTCATTCTCTTCTCCAGTTCTCTCTTCTTTCTCTTTCTCCCTTCTCCTTTCTCTCTCTTCCTCTCTTCTTCTTTTCTCTCTCCCCTCCTCTCTCTCGTCCTTCTCTCTCTCTCTCCTCCTTTCCCTCCTCCCCTTCATCTCTCTCTCTCTCCTCTCATCTCTCCTCCTCCCTACGTCTCCACCCTCCCCTCTACGAGGTAATCAGTGCTCTCTCGTTTACCCTCAGTGAGGACGGGTCAGTCAGGGAAGGATAGAGAGACAGGCCGGAACATAAACTATAGTGAGTCGCTCTTTGTCTCGAAGTGACCTAAGTGGATAACTACGCCCTCTCTCTCTCCCGTCCGCTCTGATCTGAGGCAATTTATCGTTCATGGATGAGAATGACGCAGAAAGAATATAGCGGTCAGGATATGGCGACAGACAAAGTAAATCGCGGTGGAGAATCAGCATATTACCACGTTTCCGCGCCTCGCTTCCTCCCCCCTCCCCCCTCCCTCCGCGCATTCTCTCCCCTTCCCCCTCGCTCCTCTCCTCTCTCTCATCTTCTCCTCTCTCTTCTCTCTCTCTCTCGTCTTCTCTCTCTCCTCATCTCCGTCAAACTCCATGACGGCAAAGTCGGAGAAGCCTGAGTGAATAGAGTAAAGTGTCGTAACGAGAGGATCTGAAATTCCGAAGGCAAACTCCCACGGCGGAAAGGTACACAAAGGCAAAGAATGGTATGGAGCAAGAGTTGTCACACGCCCATACCCGACGACGAGACATAGACCAACTAATGCGCCCAGATCACCTCCCAAAAACTACAAAGCACTTTATTCGGCCAACGGCTCAGCACCATACCTTGGGACAAGCGAGTGATTCAAGCACAATCCGCACCAGAAGCCGATCCCCTACAAACCGGATGAGGGACTTCCTGTACGAAACAGTCAGGGACCAATCAATAATGCAGTAAGAATCAGAGAAAGAACACGAAGAGCGGCGTAAAGCCGGTTACCAGGAAGCCCGCCATCCGACCCGGCCCCCCGAGCGCCCTGACTCGCGAAATGCACCCATCACCCCTTTTCCACTCGCGTAAACGTTAGGGATGAGTTCATCCCTGCCCAAGGTATCGGCAGGAAGCCGAGGCCCGGGAGGTGTCACATTGTACGCATACGGCAATTGATTCTTTAGCCTTCATAAGCCACGTTCAACAACGGTAGTCCAAAATTCAGATCCGTATCCCGCGGCCCGTAGACAGGCCATTGATGGAGCTTCGATGGCCCTGTTAGTATTAAGGCGGATACTCGCCCGAGTGGAAGGCCGCAGCCGACGTCGAAGGGGACCGAGAGACTTCTCGACGATTCCCGGATTCGGAACGCATTTAATGTACTCCGACCGATTTTCAGAGCTATACAGACGACGCCAGATGAGTAGAAATACATAGAACGATCCAAAGCCAACATCGACCCCAGGTTGCATCATCCGACCCGAGGTCGTCATCGATCCCAAACGGCGGCGTCGCCCAGACGGCTGGTTACCCTACCCCTGACCGCCGGGGAAGGATTAGAATTGGCCTCTGACGTACGGAATTAAAGAAACCTGGTCTCCCGCCGACCGGGTACCAAGTCCAAAGGCAGAGTAATGCTAAGTTTTCCAGCCGATCATCCTTTCTTCCAAACATTCCTTCCTAAGCACAGCATACCCTGTGTCTCTACCTGCATCGAGTGCTTTGTCGCGTGCAGATGGCGGCATTCGCATTTTTCTAACCCACCCCTAACGAGAGAATTCTTGAAGGAGTCAGATTAGCCCCTTCCAAGGGCAAAGGCTCCACACATCCTATTATCTTAGGGTTGATGAACGCCTATGAATGCATCCGCGATCCGCCGACTACGAGACAGTATGAGATTCCGTTATCAATTATTCCTATCGGTAGGGGACCGATGCGCTGTATGACAGACGACCCAGAAGAAAATAGCTCACTCGTCTCTTGACGCTGAACAGTATCCCATGGCATGGTTCAATCTCCAGAATACTTATCGAGATTCCGTCGTGACCAGGCCAAGCCCCACCGTTAGATAAAGCCATCATGAACAGAAAAGGACCACGCGGCATCGGTATATATATCTACCCAGGCTAGTAAGCCGCCAAATGTTACGCATCCGACCCGGACATCCACTTACCAACTTGAGTAACCCGTTCGCGTTTCGCCACGTCTAACCCGTACTCCCCGGTCACTGCGTGGAGCAGGCGGGCAGAGTTGGCCGTTTGATCTTTCCCCATTTCCCCGTCACGCCCCCCACCCCCCCGGTCGCAGATCGCTAGGATCCGGCCCCCCCCAGGCACCCCACCGCTTCCCAGGCTGTCCACATCGAGAGTCGTATAGCGAGATCAGCCAGGGGGATCGGGGCACCAGCGAACTAACAAAAGCGAGGATAGAGGACGCATCAAGGCGGACCCTTTCAGTCCGGCCTGCAGGTCACCGCCTGAACCGAACTTTACGAACTGAGACATACTCGACTCGGACTATAAGGTTTCCCCAGGGAGTTTCAAACCACACCTTTCTGGAGCCCTATCCCCTCACGATTTAGGGTTCCGTGCTAGCTACGACAGTAGTCAGCAAACCCCGGACCCACAACTAAGCTGCGATCGTTCAAAAGTTTCGCAGCGCACCCGTGAAGGAAGTACTTAGTAGCAGTTGACAAGCGACCCGATGGTAGTACGCCGAAGTGGATTAGTAGATGTGCTGGCCTCAATCGAAGAGGTCCGACGCGCCCCCTGGGAAGAGGGGCATCCAAAAAAGTTGTAGAGCTGCCGTCTCAGCCAGGCAATAGAGTAGATTGATTGAACTTCGCCGATGACTAATCAGATCCCAAGACCTGCGGCGTAGTATTGGACAGGCGCGCCCACCTATGATAGATCATGCCACCGCTCAGGGAACCAGCATTGCCCGGGCCTATCACTATGCAATCAATAAAGAGCCGCCATCCCCCGCCCCGAAAGAACCCCGCGACAGTCTAGTCAACACAGACGATAGCCCCCATGCTCATAGCTCAAGTGAGAGGATCCCAGTGTGTCAGAAGGTTTTTCCCGTCAATAGG